GTATGCACATGCCTGTATTCCCAGCAACTTGGTAGGCTGAGGCAGGAGGACCACAAATTTGAGGCCAGCCTGGCAACTTAGCGAGGCCCTAAGCAACTTAGTGAGAGACCTTGTCTCAAAGCAAAAAGTAAAAAGGGCTGGAGATGTAGCTTGGTGGTAAAGCATCCCTGGGTTCGATCCTTAGTATCAAAGATAGGGTAGAGCTGGGCGTAGTGGTGTGCACCTGTAATCCCAGCAGCTGGGGAGGCTGAGGTAGGAGGATTGTGAGTTCAAAGCCAGTCTCATCAACTTAGTGAAGCCCTATGCAACTAAGTGAGACTCTGTCTCTAAATGAAATATAAAAAGGGCTGGGGACATGATCAGTGGTTAAGCGTCCCTGGATTCAATCCCAAATAGGGATTAACTGAGTGGTAACTGAAGTGCTAGGGTGAATCCCAACCATTTCTTCACTGAACCTTCTTGCATTGTCTCACCTGTGAGCTTTTGGGGGACATCTCAAATCCAAACCATAACAGGGGAGATGCCAAGTAAAGCCACTACAGGGTTACAGCACATGCATGTGCACATTCTGAATTCTAACAGGTACATTCCTAAATTTTCTCATGAGGATATCACAGCAATACCAATAAGAACTTTAAACTTTAACTGCTGCATGCATGGCACCTTGCTAATTATTATCGCATATAATAATAAAATAAAAAGACCCTAAAATATGACTCAGCATAACTAAAAGTATAGAGGAAATGGAAGAAAATATATGAAAACATGAATGTTTGCTGTGATATCAGTAACTGTCCTTTATTTTATTCATAATGAATCTTTTTATAATAAACTTTCCTTTAAAAGCTGAGAAGATAAGAAATACTTGAGCTATTTAAGAAAATTGCCTGGGAGATCAGTGCTCTAAAAAAAATCTAAATTGACATGTAAATTTACCACAACCCTAATAAAATGAAAGGAATAGTCTTTCAGAAATTCAAAAGCTAAATCTACAGTTCATATGGAAAAGCAAAAGAGCAAGAATAATTAGGGTAAATATAAAAAAGCAGAGTAATGAGGTGGATCTAGGCTTTATAGTAAAAGTGCTGTGAATCTGTAATAATTAAAAAGGTTTGAAAGTAGTTCATGAGAAAGTCATCCAATCAATGGATACATTAAGAAATCCAAACATATCTCAGAGAAGTTGATATAAGATAAAATATAACACTTAATCAAGAAAAAAAACTCTTAAAATGTGGTGCTGGCACAACACACAGCCAAGCGGAGGACAGAACAGGCACTGACTCACAGCAAACTAAACCCAAATTGATTAAAATATGTAAACATAAAAACAGAAACCACAAAGGTATTAAAATAAAGCAGGAGACATTTTTCACAATCTTGGTGAGATTACAAACTTTCTAAGTAGGACATAAAATCCAAAGTCCATAAAGCAAAAGATTAATAAATTTGTAAATTTTATACCTGTAAAAGTTACCATAAACAACAAAACTCAAACCCAGTGGGAAAAAATTATCAACTCCTATGACAAATTTTCTATGGTAATTTTCTTTTTACATATAAGCTCATCTCAATAGATAAACGGGCAAAGGAACACAAGTGTTGATTCTCAAAAAGGGAAACTATTCTTAAGCACATAATAATGTGTTTAGCTTCATTTATGGCAAGAGATATGTACAGCAGATGACAGTGAGATTCCATTTTCTGCCACTGAAAATGGAAAGATCAAACAGTTAAATCAAGCTGCATACCCATAGTCTCAGCTACTTGGAAAGGTAGGAAAACAGCTTGAACTCAGGAGTTCAAGCCAGCCTGGCTAATACGGCGAGACTTATTTATCTCAAATAAATCAAATCAAAAGTTAAATCACACACTACTGGCAAGGGAAAAGAAGAAGATATAATTTGTCAATGAAAGTATAAATGTGTATCACAGAATAAAAAATAAAAGATCAATACCTAAAAAGGGAGTCTAGCAATACTTAAAGACATATATTCTTTGATCTAGAAATTCCCACATACAGACCATATGCTTGCAAGTTCAATTATAGCCACTATCTTAGTCTGTTTTCTATAACAAAATGCCTGAGGCTGGGTAATATACAAAGACAAGAGCTCACAGTTTTGTAGGCTGAAAGTTCAAGGTCAGGTGGCATCTTTACTACAGAGTCTGTTAAGGGCCTTTTGGCCACATCCTAACAAGGCAGACTCCATTGTGATGAGAGCACATGTAAGAGAGAAAGAGCAATCACATTGTAAGACAAGAAGCAAAAGAGATACAGGGGCAAGGCTTGCTCTTTTTATAATGGCTCCCTCCTATGAGAACTCACCCACTCTGCAAGACCAGCATGATTTCCTTCTGAGGGCAATGCCCCTGTGACCTGCTTGCCTTGCACTAGGCCCCCATCTCTCAAATGTTCTTAAATGTTCTCAACATGTCACACTGGGGACCAAGCTTCCAGCACATCAATCTTTGGGGGACACACACAAGCCATATCCAAATCACAGCAACTAGTAGCATTGTTAATAATATCAAAAGATAAACAACTCAAAGGCCACCATTAAAAGAGTTAATAATAAACAACCATAAAGTGGAAATAGAACAAATATATAGTTTGATATGCTACCATTTGTGTAAAAGTAAAATTTTTAAAGCACACATATATATACACTATGGCATTTCTAGATTTAATCCTAAAAAAGAGAAAGATATTAGTGGAAAAATTGGTGAGATGCTAATAACACGTATACAGTTTAGTTGCATAGTACAACCTTGAAATTGTATTCCATTAGCATATAACAGTTATTTTAAAGCAACAAAGTTTGGGTTAAAAAAAATCTTAATTACTTTTTGATTAAACTACTTCACTCATGGTATTCTTAACCTTCTATAAACTGTTAGTGAGAAACATTAAGAGTCTACGTATTTTGCTTCATTACTTTAAAATTCCTCACTTATTGCTCCTAAATAGCATATATCTCACCTACTAGATTTTAGGTCCTTATTTTAGTCAGCTTTTTTCATCACTGTGACTAAAAAGACCCAACCAGCACAATTATAGAGGAGGAAAAGTTTACTTGAAGGCTCAGTCCATAAAGGCTGGCTCCATTTCTCAGAGATCAAGGTGAAGCAGAACATCACAGTGCAAGAGTGTGGCAGAGGGAAGTAGCTCACATGATGATCAGAAAGCAGAGAGGAAGAGAGTCTTCACTTGCCAGAAACAAATATATACCCAAAGCCATGCCCCAATTCCCACCTCCTCCAGCTGCACCCTACCACTTCAGTTACCACTCAATTAATCCCAATGGGGGAATTAATTCACTGATTGGGCTAAGATTCTCACAACGCAATCATTTCTCCTCTGAACCTTCTTGTATTATCTCACATGTGAGCTTCTGGGGGACACCTCACATCCAAACCATAACACTCCTTAAAGGAAGGAGCTACATCATCTCTGTACTTAAAGACTCTGGAGATCATCTGCTATATGAGAGTTTAACAAATGAAAGCCAAAATTAATATCCTCAGGCCTAGAGGCTGGGGATGTAGCTCAGTGGTAGAGTACTTCCCTAGCATGTACAAAGTACTGGGTTCTATCCATGGGTACTGGAGATTGAACCCAGGGGTGCTTTACCACTGAGTCACATCCCCTGCCCTTTTTAATTTTTATTTTGAGACAGGCTCTCACTAAGTTGCTTAGGGCCTCACTAATTTGCTGAGGCTGGCCTTGAACTTATGATCCTCCTGCCTCAGCCAATAGAGTTGCCAGGGTTCCAAATGGGCATCACCACACCTGGCAAAAAAATAAGGCAAACTTTGTGTTCCAAATACCTAAACAATTTTTCTAAGGTTCCCTTTGATCCTTAGTGAAAATTACATGGAAGAAAAAAGAAGCAAGAGACAGAGAGGACAGGATGCACACTGAGGTTGTGGGTGGGAAAAAAACAGCCATTTTAGATATACTACCCTCTAACTTAACTTCCTAAACAGTTTGCTCTGTGCTGGAGGCAATGGTAACAGAGTGACAGAGAAAATATAATCCTTACAATAGGAGTTGGGCATAATTAATTCAAAGTCAACACTTGAAAAGGTAAAACTAGAAAACTGCCTCAGATTTGAGAGTGTTTTCTACAAGGGCTAATAAAATGCTTCTCAAAGAAAAGTTCCCTATTTTTAAGAAAAGAACAGGACAAAAGTCCAGTTTTGACAAAGTTTTGCTTTTCTATAATAGCTTCTCAGAAAAGCCTCATGGGCAGCACACTTTAAAATGTCTAAACAAAAGATTCTAGCTTCAAACTCCACAAGTAACCTAATTTCCTAAACATCCAAAACCCAAAAGGAGGATTAAAATTTAGGAAATACTCTTTTGAGTTCCCTGAAAGGGTAAAGAAATGCTACTTTCCCCCAAGGCATCACCCCGTACTCAGAGATCAAGGCCTCAGTGTCCACATTATACTGCAAAACCACCTGCCTTCTATGGGTATCCATTTCCCATTCATAAAATAAACATATCTCAACCAAGGTTCCTTCCAGGCCTAAATTCTATTTCTGCTTCTTTCCTCAAACCACCAGACTAGAAGGATTGTTAAGGTCTTCTATCAAATACACATCCCAACACATGCATTTGTGTATGCTGAGGGGAGGAGATGCCTGTTAATATTTACTTTCTATTTCCATAAGAGCCCAACACAAAAAAAGCAAAATATCTGTTTGGTGAGAGCATTACACAAGCATTTATCAAATAAGAGGGAAAAGAATTTATTCAACAATATGTTGAAGTAAAACTGGAATGTGTATGTTATTTAGTGAAACACTGACTGTCCACTCATCCATGGTTAGGGAGATGAAAGCTTCTGAGCTCCCATGTGATTTCATGTCGTAGTCCACATATAAATTCTTCTAGATAGCTTTAGGAATATATTCTGTCACTTGATATTTTCATTTTGTTCCCATGTTGCATAGCAAGGAAGAAAGATGAGAACTATAAGAAGAATGCTCACCATATGTAATGACAGCTGACTTGTCAGTAGACAGTCTTCTTCTAAGTTACTTGATATACCCCTTTAGCTCCAGACTACTGGCTTGCAAGATGATCATATGAAAAGCAGAATAAGAGGTCTGTAAGTAAGTTAGTATGATAAAACATAGTATGGTGGAGATTTAATAATCTCCATCAGCTGAAATTTTCATTCTCAAAACACATAACACTAGAATATTAACAAATATGGCTTTGTTCTATAGGAGATCTTTTTATGATACAGGCCCTTTGTAAATAATATGAGAATACAGAAGAATTGTGCAGAAAATCTATAAAGTTCAATTTTCTACAGTGAAAGGTAAGTGTGAGTTGATAAGGATGTGAAATAATATCCATCTGTGAAGATAAACTTTTTTTTTAAAGAGAGAGTGAGAGAGAGAGAGAGAGAGGGAGAGAGAGAGAGAGATATTTCTTAATATTTATTTTTTAGTTATCGGCGGACACAACAACTTTGTATGTGGTGCTGAGGATCGAACCCGGGCCGCACGCATGCCAGGCGAGCGCGCTACCACTTGAGCCACATCCCCAGCCCTGAAGATAAACTTTTAAGAAGCCTTCCTGGGGAAATGAATTTGAACACATGTCAAAGGAGGATTAGAGAAGTGACAGGTGGTGGGAGAAGAAGGAAACTACAGGCATAAAAAATTATCTAGGCAAAAGCAGACACTGTGGTTTCTTGAGAGATTAATCAGTTAGAACAAACAGAAAGGGGAGAAAGCACACATATGAACATGAGCCTCAGTTTTCCCCTCTGTCACAGAGAGGCTGTACAAAATGACTACCCCTGGTCCTGTCCAATGACAGCCTGCTTCCTATGAAACCCTGCACTGTGCACCTGCCTCTTCCACCATCCTGAAGGGCTCCTGGCTCAATGGCCCTATTGGATAGATGAATAGATTAAGGCTCAGAAAACTGAAAAGGTCTCCAGCTAGAGGGTTTTTGAAACAAACAAAAAAAGGACAGGAAAACAACTGTGGAAAAAAGAAATGGCGTATGAAGAATGCCAGTTTCAAAAATCAGAACTTCTGTACATAATTTATCAATGAAATAAATATTGCACTTTTTTAAGATCTTAAAAGATATAAAGGAATAAAGAATCTTCCCTGTCACACTGTTCAAAACAAAGGGAAACTAAGAGTCCTTTAAGGGAAACTGAAAGTGGTGTTGTGCCTCCTCTTGCCCCAGCAGGACTAGAACTACACCATGATTCTCTGCTGCAGCGTCCATAATGAGCAGGTATGGTGCTGGACACACACATTACCCAGTCATTAGCACAGACACTGGCAGTTAAAATAAGAGGCCTTCCAAATTCAGAAGCACTCTCACTCCTAGCAAAGCCTGTGTACAGATTCAAAACAAGGTGCAATTTTATGCAAAAGCTCAGTGGTCACTATAATGATTTACTAGTATTCATTTAACTGCAGAATTCACTATTTCTAAATGTTTTTATGGCTAGCAGCAAAGTACAGTACAATAAATAAAACTAGTCTTGAGGGCTAGAAACACTGCTTAGAGGTTCAGCACTTGCCTAGTATGTGTGAGGCCCCAGGTTTGATCCCCAGTATCAAAAAAAAAAAAAGGGGGGAAAAAAATCTAGTCCTTAAACAATTCAAAGCCAAGGGCTGGGGCTGTAGCTCAGTGACAGAGTGCTTGCCTTGCATGCGTGAGTCACTGGTTTTGATCCTCAGCACCACATAAAAATAAACAAATAAAATAAAGGCATTCTGTCCATCTACAACTACCAAAAAAAAAAATTAAATTCAAAGCCAAGTAGTACAAGTTAATTAGATCTACTTACTCGCAAACAAGAAGTCATTTCTTCAAATTTAGCTCTAACCCTTACCATTTCACTACATGAACATTTGGGATTAAAAAAAAAAAAATCTATCCTCTCCTGGTGGGAGCTGATCTAATAAAACAATTAGAGAATATGATAATAGCCCACAGCCTGACAACTGCACAGAGAAACCTGCCATGTGCACAGGCCAAGAGGCAAGGATGTTGTCTACAGACTCTGTAATCAGGGACCACAGGAAATATCCTATAATTTTAGCAAAGAAAAAAAATGACAGGAAAGCTATGGCATATCCCTAAATAATCAACAAAATATTAGGCAGCAATTAAAAAGAATGAACTAGATTTATTTAACTAAGATGGACAGCATGTTTCTGAAAGAAACAAAATATAAATATTAAGTACAATGCCAATTAAGTTTTAAAAATACAAAAATGCTTTTATAAATAAAAATGAATATGTTAAGTCAACAAAGCATTTACATTTGGAAGGCAAGTAGAAGACCAGGAAGGGGAAGGCCTGGAATAAAGAAGTACATACATCTAATAAATGGGTCCACTTATTCTACTTAAAGAGACTTTCTAAAATATCTCCTAAGAACTTTTCAGGGTTATTAAGTGATTTAGGATTCAAAAATACAGTAAAATAAAGATAATATCTCTGCAACTATTACTAAATTAAAATCTAACCAAAGATCAGATTCTGGGAAGATCAAGAGTAGGAAGAACCAGGGAACTGGTTCCGCACCCAGACAACAATTACACTAAAATAATTGCCTGATGGAACTATTTTGAGGCTCTGGACATAAGGACATAGCTGTGGTTAATTTTGGTCAATATCAGCTCTTCACATAGTCACAGCTACACATCCCCCATGCCCAGCCCTGTGGCAGATAGTTGTACAACTTGCAGGAGCTAGGGTGAGCAAAAAGGACACGTTCCTCTAAATATCTAGCATCTGGGTTCTGATTTGCACAAGGATGGCCACTGGCTGCTTGGGATCACAGAGATGCAGTGTCAATTTAAAGATGCTGAAAGAATTGAAGATGTGTAAAAAGTCAATAAATGATATATGAAGAAATTGAAAACATCAATAAGGATATAAAAACGCTAATGAAGCCAAAAAGAAATTCTGGAGCTGAAAAGAATAATAATAGAAATGAAAAATTCACCAGCGGCATTTAAAGACAGTTTTGAAGACACAGAAGAAAAGAATGAGCAGCAGGAGATCAAGATGGTGGAACAGAACAGGTCACTCTCCAGGCTGCCCTATGGCATGAAACCAAGAAAGCAAGGAGTCAGCTTCTCAGAAATGTGGGTGGAAAAGGGGAGCAGGGGAGGGCCTTCACTGGGAATTAATACTGGACATTCAAAGCAGATCAGGTGGGAGACAACAGAATAATGAAGAACTCCCCCACCCTACATCCACCACTGCCAGTGCCTGCCAGAGCAGTCCCTTCACTCACCAAGTGGAGGGATAGCAGAATAAAGGGAAATCGCGCTTTTAGACCTTGTGGCATGTCTTAGTAAGGAAAGACCAGAGATCAAAGACCCTGGCAGAACTGATGCAAAAGGTGTGCTGCAGGATACTGTCTTGTGGGAAAGAAGCCTTGTCTCTCTGGCTGCCCCTGGACGAAAGAGGAAGGAGACATCTTATAGCCGCTCAGCAGGAGCCTGCGGCTGTGGGTGCCAAGTTCTGGCAAACCAGAGCTGGATCCAAAAACACGCCTGACAAACTCACACCAAAAGTCATAAAACCTGCCTAAAAGGCCAGGAGAAAATCAGATGCAGAGAGAGTTTTACACAGGGAATATGGATCGTGGAAAGTCACCCAGCTCCCAGCTCCCCCTTGAGTCTGACCACAAGCAGGCCCGGCGAGGAATGACTTGGTTTGTAGACTGAACCTAAGAGCCCAGGAAAGGTGGAGTCCATGAGTGATGGAGGGGGTGAAGGCTGACTCTCCCACATGAGTGGAACCCGGGGAAGATTCCTGGAGTGCAGTATCCCAGCACAGATGGGCAGCAGCAGCTGGATGGACCCTGGAGATGCGCCCATTTAAAAACTTCAGACCAAAAAAAAAAAACTTCAGACCATTCAATGAAGAGCCTGCACCTATGGAGACCCAAACCCTGCCTTCAGAAGCTCCACCTCTGGAACTCTACTCACAGAAAACTACAGCAAGCCCACCCTGAGGGTGGAGCAGACATCGCACTCCAGCCCACTCCACCTAACACAGGAGAAGGGAAGCTGAGAACTTCTGAACTCCCACTGGCAACAAGAGGAGCCACTCAAAAAGAGAAAGGATTGACAGCCTGCAGTCACTACTTACATACACAATATATACCTCAAGAAGAAACAGAAAGACAGACATTTGGGAATAGACAAAGAACATTTATTCTCATAGGCAATTTTTGAACACTGCAATAGAAGGAATTCCTTAACTTTTCATTGAGAAGGGTTTTGTTTGTTTTTGTTTTTATTTTTTTACTTTTTTTAAGGCGTTACTGGTTTTTTAAAAAGAAATATTTATTTTTTAGGTGTAGATGAACACAACACAATGCCTTTATTTTTTTATTTGGTGCTGAGGATCGAACCCGAGTCCCACCCGTGCTAGGCGAGCGTTCTACCACTGAGCCACAATCCCAGCCCAGTTTTTGTTTTTATTAATTGCTTTTATTTTTTTACATACATGACAGCGGAATGCATTACAATTCTTATTACATGTATAGAGTACAATTTTTCATATCTCTGTTTGTATATAAAGTATATTCACACTAACTCATGTCTTCATACATGTACTGTGGATAATGATGTCCATCACATTCCACCATCATTGCTAACCCCCTGCCCCTTCCCTTTCCCTCCCACCCCTCTCCCCTATCTAGAGTTTGTCTATTCCTCTCATGTTCTCTCTCCCTATCCCACTATGAGTCAGTCACATTATATCAGAGAAAACATTCGCCATTTGTTTTTTTGGGACTGGCTAACTCCACTTAGCATTATCTTTTCCAATGCCATCCATTTACCTGCAAATACCATGGTTTTATCCTCTTTTACTGATGAGTAATATTCCATTGGGGTTTTTTTTTTCCCTCTGTTTAATTATGACCTGAATGGTTCATGGACACTTATACATAAACATATATGTCTCTTTATTCTAATTTCTTGCATTTTTTTGAAGGCAGTTATTTGTCATGGCTTACTCATTTGAGGGCTAGGATGTTTCATTACTATATTTCTCTTTTTGTTTTGTTTGTTTTGTTTTCTTCTGCTTCCCTTAATTCTCCTTCTCTCTTTTCTTTTGCTAACAGTCAAACATTATTGTTCTCTCTTTCATTCCTCCTTTAAGTTTTACTTCTATTTTCTCTTCTTCTCCCTCATAATCATCACATCCTATTCCTTTTCTGTTCTCTCCCTCTCCACTTTTTGAAATTGCAAACCTTTTGTAAACTTGCTGTTTTTAATGTGGTCAATAACTGATCACATCATTTCTTTATATGTGACAATTAACATGCTAAATGTCACAGAAGAAACTATTTGGTTTTATGCAATATATCATTGGTGTTGGTTGTTGTTATTATTTGTTTATTGAGGTACTTGGAATCTTCAGGGAAAGTATAAATTCACAGGGTAGAAATTCTACTGCCTCAGATCCTTACTGTTAGATGGACAGGCACACAAACAATATGAAAAAGCAAGGGAACAAATCACCCCAAACAAGCCAAAATGCCTCAATTATAGAATCCTTTGACACCACAATGAAAGAAATGTCAGAGAAGAAATTTAGAAAGTTCCTAGTTGAACTGATCTGGAAGTTAAAGACCTCTTCAATAAAGAGAGAGTCCGAGGATCAAATGGAAATCCTCAAAATTAAAGAATCAATAAATCAAATTTAAAATTCAATAGAAAGCATCACCAGCAGACTATACCACTTGGAAGACAGAGTTTCAGGCAAAAAAGACAAAATATATAATCTTGAAAATAAAGTTGACCATGGAGAAAAGATGTTAAGAGGCCATGAAAAGAAAGTTCACAAAATTTGAGACAACATGAAAAGATCAAGTTTAAGATTTATTGGGATAGACGAAGGCTCAGAGACACAAACCAATGGAATGCCCAATCTTTTCAATGAAATAATATCAACAAACTTCTCAAACCTTAAAAATAAAATGGAAAATCAAATGTAGAAGGCTTATAGGACCCCAAATATACTAAAATACAACAGACCCACATCAAGGCACACTACTATGAAAATACAGAATAAGGATAGAATTTTAGAGGCTATCAGAGAAAAATGACAAGTAACATTTAGAGGGAAACTGATCCCCAGATCTCAGCTCATCTCTCAACCCAGTCCTTCAAATTATTGTCAAAATGGCCATACTACCCAAAGTGCTATAGAGATTTAACTCAATGCCTTTTAAAATTGCAATGACATAATAGATAAACTCTAGATAGGGCAGAGGGGTTGGAGGGGAAGGGAGAGGGCATGGGGTAATTAATGATGGTGGAATGTGATGATCATTACTATCCAAAGTACATGTATGAAGACACGAATTGGTGTGAATATACTATGTATACAACCGGAGATATGAAAAATTGTGCTCTATATATGTAATAAGAATTGTAATGCATTCTGCTGTCATATATGAATAAAAAATTTTTTTAAAAAACACAAAGTACTTACAGAAAAAAATTGCAATGACGTTCTTCATTGAAATAGAAAAAGTAGTCATGAAATACTTCAGGAAAAATAAGTACTCCTCAATAAGATTATCAAGTTTCTCATCAGAAATTTTGGAGACTAGAAGATACTTTGCAAATATATTCAAAGCCTAAAATAAAGGAAGAGTGGAAGAACCTGTTAGCTAAGACTCACATGTCCAGCAAAACTGTCCTTCAAACCCAAGAGAGAAATTAAGACATTCCCAGATAAACTAGAACTGGGGAAATGTTGCCAAGAGGAGTCCTGCAGGGTGAAAGGAAAGACACTAGACAATAATTTAAAACTATATAAAGAAATAAACACCTCAATAAAGGTAAATATTTGGGCAATAAAAACTCACATTATTGTAACAATAATAAATAACTGCACTTTTTCATTTTTTACATGATTTAAGAGACTAACACGTGTTGTGAAAAACAGTCTAAAAGCTATATTATTTAACTCTACTTTTCCCCCCCTTGAAGTACTAGGGATTAAACCCAGGTCCTGTGCATACAAGGTGACTGCTATACCACTGAGCTATCAGCAGCCTTTTTTTTTTAGTCCAAGTCCTGCTAAATTGTCCATGTTAGCATCAAATGCATGATCCTCCTGCCTTAGGCTCCCAAGCAGTGGTGTGCCATGTGCCTATAAACCCACATTTTGTTTTTTACATGATTTAAGAAACAAATGTACTAATCTCTTATTAGTTCATTATTAGTTAATACTATTAGGCACACAGTGTATAAAGATGCCCTTTTGTGACAGCAAAACTCAAAGGGATGGGGTCAGAACTTAGAAGAGCTGGGTTTTTGTATGTTATGGTACTTAAGCTGGTATAAATTCAATTAGGGTGTTATAACTTTAGGATGGCAAATCTAATTTCCATGGTAACCACAAAGAAAATAGCTACAGATTATATATGTAAGTCAAAATGAGAAAGGAACATAAAGATTTCACTACAGAAAAAAATCAACTAAATAAAAAAGAAGACAGCAATATAAAAAATGAGAGACAAAACATCTACAAGTGTACAGAAAACAACCCAACATAACAGAGCTGAAGTCCTTCCTTATCAGTAATTACTTGAAGTGGAAATGGATTAAACACTCCAGTCAAAAAACAGAGAATAGCAGAATTGATTTAAAAAAAAAAAACATGATCAACTACATGCTACCTACAAGACACACAAAAGTAAAGGAACAGAAAAAGGTATTTCAAGTAAATTGAATACTAAACAAAAGAGAACAGGGGTGACTATACTAACACTAGAAAAATAGGTTTGTTTGGGTTTTTTGTTTTTGTTTTTGTTTTTGTTTTTGTTTTTGTTTGTACCAAGCTACATCCCCAGTCCTTTTTCATTTTTTATTTTGAGAAAGAGTCTAAGTTGCTGAGGCTCTCACAAGTTACTGAGGCTGGCCTCAAACTTGAAATCCTCTTATCTCAGTCTCCTGAGTCACTGGGATTACAAGCAAGTGCCACTATGTCCTGCCAAAATTGATAGAATCAAGAATTTACGTGAGACAAAGAAGGATACTGTGTATTAATAAATGGCTCAATACAGTAAGATTATAATTATTAAAATTATATATAATTTTAAAAATCTATGCACCTAATGACACAACAGAAAATACATAAAACAACCCTGACAAACAAGGAAGAAATACACAGTTCTACAACAGTAATTGTGGACTTTATCATTATTTTTTGTTTTTATGTGGTGTTGAGGATCGAACCCAGTGACCCGCGAATGCCAGGAGAACACGCTACCACTTGAGCCACATTCCCAGCCCTTTAATTGTGGACTTAATATCTTACTCTTAACAAAGGGTAGAACAATTAGACTGAATATAAGTTTAAAAAAAATTAAAGAGGACATAAGAAACGAACTAGACCTAATAGACATATACAGAACAGTCTAGACAACAACAAAGAATACTCACTCTTCTCAAATACACATGACATGATTTCCAGAATAAAACATATATTAGGCCATGAACTAAATCTCAACAGATCTTAAAAGATTGACAGTATACAAAACATCTTCTCCATCTAAAACAGGATGAAGTTAGAAATCAGTTACAGAAGTACAACTGGAAAATGTACAAAACTGCAGAAATTGAACACCATATTCTTAAACAACCAATGAAGCAAAGAAGAATCACAGAGAAAATTTTAAAAATACTTAGAGATAAATGAAAATGAAAACACAGCATGCTAAAACTATGCAGAAATGCAGGACTGGGGGTGATTTATAGCAATAAATACTTACATAAAAACCAAAATCTGAAATCAACCAAGGTACTTTATAATTTCCAAAACCATAAAGAGAACAACAAATTAAACTAAAGTAAGCTAGCAGAAGGAAGAAAATAATAAATATTAGAGCAGAGATAAACAAAACAGCAGAAAAACAAAGGGGGAAAAAAATCAATGAAATCAAAAGTTCACTCTTTAGACAAATCAACATAATAG